GCGTGCTTGTGTGTCTGGGGCGGGAGATTCATGTGATTGGTTGTTGGTCGAGTTTCAGCCCCCACCCCGCCGGCAAGCGACCACGCACGCCGCCGTGTGTAGGAGCCGTAATACATTATGAAGCTTTGCTTCAGTTGGGGAATACATGATTCACCACTACATTGGCTTTACTGCGCCCAAACTATTTGAAAAAAAAAAAAGTATTAACTACTCTGTTTTGTAGATTTTTGAAACGGAAACAAACGTCTCATGTACTTTTGGCACAAATGACTTCTTCAACACCAAGGCTGACTAATGGATACAAAAAGAAACCTGGAGAAGCTCATTACTGTTGACTTATAACCTGACCGCTAGAGATAATAGCCTAGTAGTAAATATAATGGAGTATCAGAAATCTTGTCTTTATAAAAGCCCATCTTCTCCTTCTCCCCCCCCCCCTCACATCTCATTATAGTGCCAAAGCTGACCAAGGGTGTACATTGTGTTCAAACTAAAAATATATGAACTAAAGATGAACAAATGTCATTGGATCCCAGCAGTTAATCCCTTTAAGTCATCCAAACATCCAGCCTAATTAACTCTGAGTAACAGGGTTTCTTCAGCTGGTCACTCTCCAAAAACACATTGTGTTCATTCGGTTACTGAATGTGTGTCGTACCTGACAGTCGAGTCAGAAGACCCGGTGACGATGACCCTCTCGTCGTACTGCAGACACAACACTGATCCTGTGTGACCGGTCAGTATCTTCAGACACTCCAGAGACTGCTTATCCCAGATCTGTCAGGAGACCGGAGGAGGAGAAGAAGAAGGGAGAAAGATGAGTGAAGCAGAGGAAGAGGACACGGAAAGAGGTCAAATGAGTGGTTGTATAAAGGTTGCAGATTGGGGTTATGTTAACATCGGCCTGTTCTCACAGCAGTGTGCATGCCCCACTTCCCCACTGCTGAGCTCTGATTGAGTACGTAAGAGCCATTCAGCCTTTCCCTGGGTAAGCGTCAGCCTCCTCCAAACAATAGGACAAATGCACCCTTCTCCTCCCTAAATCCTCCCCTCCTCTTCATCATCATCATCATCATCATCATCTTCTTCTTCTCCCCTCCTAGGCCAGACAGCTAAGTGGAACACACAACAGGTTTGGAGCTGAGCCCTTTTATCCTTTAATTCACTTGTGTTTTTTTCTCAGTGTCTGCTGGGTTAGCTCAGCGCCACAGACAATAAGATGCTAAGCCACACTGAGCACTGAGAAAAGATTCATTTCATACAGCAGGTAGAGGAAAACAACCTCACACACAGCATGCATGTGCTTTCATAGCCAACATGTTGGGCTCTGAACTCCTGCTGCTGCTGCTTATACACACAAATAAGATGTTCAAGTCTAATGTATGCCTAACTACTAGGGCTGTAGTTATATTCCAGTCTTGACAGATACCAATCAGTCATTAATAAAAGTACAACAGAAATGTCAGGTCAAATTGAGCTTTGCCTTTACCGCTTATAAGTTTTAAAGTGATTTATTTTCACCACATTTCTTCTCTCTAACCTTGATCAAAGAGGGGGTTGCAGCTACTGCGTCCTTAACCAGCTCTGTTGTGGGCCAGTAAATGTATTGTGCAAAACGTTTCATGAGTGAAATGTGGAACAATGCGGTGTATAGAAACAACTAGCCTCACTCTGCAATTAATTTGTCCTGATAAATTACTGTTACATCATCAATCTTTTTACCTCAGAAGTGCATAAACTAGAAGTGATGTACTTCTTTTGAATATGTGTGAAATTATTGATCATACTTTTGGTATCAACCATAAGAAGCAGGTACTTCTGGTTATTGTTGATGTGGGATATTAAATCATGTCATGCATCTCTTTCCTGTTGCACACGGCCCCCTTAGACATAAAGGAAGAGTATCTCACATAATGAAACAAACAGCCTTTTATGCATTTTTAAATGAACGTGTCCACTACACAGACAGCTCAGGTAGTTTTGGACCAGAAGCTTTGTGTGGCCAGGTAGTCTAGTAAAGATTAAAACAAATGAAATGGGCATGGTAATAATCTCATAGACCTCGGTTGTTGACCGTTTGATAAAAGCGTACCTTGATGGAATTGTCTCTAAGGCCACTGATGATCTTGTCATCGTCGTACTGGAGGCAGTAAACCCCTTTACTATTTTCTGAGCGACACTGAATCCTCTGCAAGTTGTGTCTGCCACATCGCCAATTTGCCTCGATAGTCTGGAGAAAAGATGGGGAAACAATGAGAAACAGAAACACAGAAGGCAAACAGAGGAAGAGAAGTACTGCAGTTAAACAGAGTGAGATTATGGAGTCAAACCGAATGTTATGTTACTAGAGAGATCAGTAACACCAGAACCATAACTTAAACATCTTTTGTTAGCTGTAATCAACATTTTCTACATGTGAGCATTTTGTGTAAAGAAAACAACACTTCTGAAAAGTGCAAATACATTTGTAATTTAAATATAAAACCATTAGATTAGCCAATGGGAAGTAGATTGTAAAGGCTCAAAACATCTGCTCATGACATTTTGAAATGCACCTTGAGGAACATGTTTCATAGAGTTTTGAAATGCACTGCCTGCAAAATGTCCTTTTTAACAAATGAAGGAAATCTGATGCAATAATAATAACAACGGCTGCTTTGAGAGTCGATTACTGGAGAAAACAGGTAATACTGAAATCCATTTCCTGCGTCTTACCTCTATGTCTTGGATGATCTTGGGATAAAGGGAGTGATAGTAGGAGTTGGGTGGGACTTCTGGCGTGCGGTTCTTGAACAGATATTTCTCCCTAGGGGAAGAAAAAAATAAAAATGACAGCTGCTTTGTATCCACTGGGATTTTTCCTTTCTTTGAATGCAGAAACTCAAGACCAACCAAGTATAACTGTACTGCTATCCACTTTAAATTATCTTAAATAAATGCCAGGTAAAAAGAACACTTACAAGTTTATTGAAGACACGTAGTTTACTTAGAAACTCAAGACAGCATGCATCCATTTTACACTAAAGTATGTGTCTATATCCTCTCACCACTGGTGTCTCTCAGACAGGCCTTTCCAGAGCGGGTCGGTGCGGACCATGCGTTCGATGAGCTTCTTCCACAGCATACCCTCAGAGATGACTCTCTGCCACTCCTTACACACCAACTCTGCCGAGCAAAGCGAGCGTGCATCCAGGAAAGACAGGATGTTCTCCGCTATGTGATCCAAGCCTTGGGCTAGAGGGAGGAAGGGAAGAGTCTGAGTGTTGGCTGTGAAATGAATAGGATTTCATACGCTCGCTTTATCTGTGCCTGGTTTTTTAAGTAATCCTTGTTTGTTGGTATTTATTATCAATACTTAGAAATGTCTTTAAAACAAAATCAGCAATAGAAAAACCTGCTTGAACATTTTAGGAATACCATGTAGTACAAACGTTCTATAGTTTAATCTATGTTGTTGTTGAAAGCCATATTAACTCTTAGGTTTGTAGCAGAGAAAAAACTTGGCCATGGATGAAAATCCCTTGAATAGACTTGTCCGTTATAAGATCTGGATATTGTTTGAGCAAATCTGTAAAAAAACAAAGTATTGTCTGTACTGATGGGTATTGTTTAAAAGGTTACGATACCAGTACCAAATCCAGTACCCTTAAATATACTACACCGATACTTTTTTAAGTTTTTAATGAAATACCCATAATGTTACTGTAAGCATTCTATACTGTAAAAATCCCACCACTCCACCCAAATTATTTTAACAGTAATACATTTTGAAAAGTTTGAAATGACAAAAATATATATTTTTACTGCGCTCAACCTCTCCTGACTACAGACTATGAGTTGGGGGTCATTAGTGGGCCACAAGTCACCCGAGAGGTGATTTGCTTCAAACACAATCAGAGAGATAGGCAATTGTTTTCAAATTCTGGCAACAAAAAGGATTAAATGCTGTTATCGTTTGAATGACTGGAGAAGTCTCAAAACGACTTGGTGCTGGGTTATAATGATCAATACCTTAAAGGGTATCAAGCAGAGATACACAGCCTAACTGTGGTCACACTGCGTCAGAGAAGATGGAGCGCACACTGTTGGAGTTCTTGCTACCAATTGTTGCCCTTTATTTTGTCTTTGTACCTGGCAGCGCAGTGATGAAGTCCCTCTGCAGCATGGGTTTGAGGTAGGAGTTGATGTGGCCGTGCTGGTAGTGGCACATACGGGAGATCAGGCGCTCGACAAACTCCACCTGGTCGGCCTCCGACCACTGGTCGAACAGGGCGATGCAGTGTTCCTTCTCCTTTTCATAGTTCCCCTCTGACGGACGCTTGCGGGACACGGCAACAGGACCATTACTAATCTGTAAATTTGAGAAAACACATTAAAAAAATTCAATTTGAGATACTACATTAGAATACAAAAACAATAGCAACTCAATCCTTGTCAGGTAATTTTTCCATCCTTAAAAACAGCTGGTGAACAGGATCAAGAGGAAGTTCTTATTGGTGGACTCGGCTCAAAATCACTTTCCATTGCCGAGGTTTAAAGGTGGGGTAGGTCATTTTGGAGAAACCAGCTCGAGTGCGCTAGAATTTGAAAATACACAACTGGAAAAAATCTGCCACTTCCTTACAGAGCCCCTCCTCCAACACAGACAAGATACGTTTGTGCAGGAGATGGAAGGCTGACAGGCAGGTAGGCCATCCCTGGCTGGTCGTGCTTTTTACAGTACTACGGCTTCCACAGATGAATTCTTTTTATGTATTTATTGTCAAAGCATTTAATATATTCATTGCTATCGGGACGTTAAGAGCATTCCATGGAATATAACAAAAAGTGTTTCTGAAATAAATTACATACCCCACTTTTAATGCTATTAAACCACTAAAAGCCTGCAGTATTGTGGGTGTTTGTGGGAATAAGAATGTATTTAAAGGAATGTTAATGTCAACATCAGTGTGAAGTTTATACTTGAATTGAAGAGGATACCATAGTATACTAAGAGTCCAATCACAATTTAAAATACTGATAAACTGCACTTCCTTAAATGTTGTAATGATTTTGAAGGCTGTGCTTTAACTACAATATCACCAACCTTTTATAGGAGGGTTCACCTTGGTAGGATATTTTAATGTAAGTAATGAACTTATTAAGTATGACATTCTTATGTAGCATATACATATTTGAAAAAAACTGTAATTTTAAAGCATCTAAGCAGGAGGTCTTTATTTGTTGACACGAAGCTGCCGTCATGGATCCACAAAGTTAACACACACACACACACCTTGAGAACTGTGGTCTTCTTTGGCGACAAATCGTCCACGAGGGTCTGTGAATCCATCCCTGACGTGTTCTGTAGACAATAAAAAAAAAACACAAGAGGTGTGGGTTATTGTTTTTATTTTATTTTGCATGATCTGTGTTGCTGGCACTGTGAGAGCCGGGGCAGCGGTGTGGACAGCGCTGGACACAAGAGTGCCACAAACACAGCCAAGAAAGGGGAACCATCATGACTTCTGAGGCGAGCACAAACACCCGTGCATACACACACACATGGAGTAAAAACAACTAAGCACCGCAACAAAAGGAATCTATTCGCTTGCTTGTCTATGATGTTGGCTAAGTAGTCTGGACAGGAAATTAAACTGCAGCATCTTGGGTATGTCACTGGCAGCAGCACGGGCAGGACTGTAATAAAATCTGATAGTGACTAACAGCATACAGACAGGACAGAAAAAGAAAAAATACTGGGACTTAACCGGATCCTACCAATATCTAGCAAGTCCCTTAGTGCACTGCAAAGATGTTACAGAGCCTCAAGTCATTTCAATAGCAACACTTTGATGGCACAAATCAATCATTGACAGACTGACCTGTCTCTTGACAACTAACACAAAATATATTTAGTATTAATAAACATAAATGGCAAAGAACAGGTTCTTTATAGCATATACACTTCTTTGGACAGTCCAGCAGCAATATCATAATCTTTGATTCATCATCACATAAGTAAAAACCAACATGGAGACCTGCTATTATCTATGAGGGCTGTCTGTTTACTTTTTTTTAGATGTGACTAAAGATACGCCTGAGTTTTGATGTCAGGAGACCGCCTTAAACCAACATGTTTGCACACGGTAACATTTACTTTTTCACAAAACAAGCCTATTCCTGAACTATGAAGCCTTTGAAGACTCTCCTGAAATGAACAGGGACCCAACAACCAGATCACAAAAAAAAAAAAAAGTATTAATGTATCCGTTATTACCAGATGGACTTCCAAGTCACTAACTAATTCAAGGAAATAGGAAAAACAAAAAGGTTTTACCTGGGAGAGTTGATCCTATCAAATATATGCGTAGGTGATGACTGAGACAAGGTCAGTCTTTGAAAACAACATTGTTGGCAAAAAAGGTAGATTAGAGATCTCTTTGTATTCATCTGTTACTGCTTCTTCAGCGGGCTTTCTTCATATCAATTATACTAAAAGTTATACTTATTTACAGGATCGTTTTTAAGAAAAACCCGAAACCCCTTCAAGATCTTTAAAATGTTTTGCTTAATGTAATTATCCATCTAAGATGGTGACACAGCTAAATGTGGAAAGCAAAACCAAAAAAGAACATATAAGTTGTTGGCACTAACCAACACACAAACCAAGGGTCGGGTACCAAGACCCAAGCAGACGGGACGAGAAGCCAGAACGGGCTTGCTGATGTTGATGATCATGCAGAGCAGAAGAAGAGAAGGAAAGAAAAATAAAAACAGACAGACCAGGTTTGGTCAGGCAGGCAGGCAAGCAAGCATGTAGCCTTTCAGAGCTTGAAGGGAGACCCCGCACCTCGGCCCTCACACCTCCAGGTAGAAGGCAAGAAAATGTTACTCAGTGTGGGGTTTTTCTCTGGTACCCCCTGCATCCTCCCTCCACTCACACCAAATTACTTATATATAATAGTCTACTATTTACGCTGAATGTAAAAGCATTCCCTTTTCATTACACAAAACCCTGTTTGACTTTTTAAGTGACCTGAGGACTGGTTTAGATGCAACAACTGTGATTTGACATCATTATAAGTTAATTACAGTTTATAAAGCTACAATTCTTTGTCAAGCAGGGAGAGTCTGAGGACACACCAGAGAAGAACCTGAGAGCAGTGTGCTTCCAACAGGGAGGAAAGGACAACATAAGGTGAGGAGGTAGGAGGGTGAGCGGGTGCAGTCTGCACCAGGGTGGTATGAGGAGTCATGTGGAGTGGGCTCAGAAGTGAAGGATGAGGAGATGGCAAGGGAGGAAAGGGAAGGGAGAGGAGAAGGAGCAGCAGAATTAAGAGGAGAGAACCTGGTTGTGAGCCCGGTTGGAGGGGATGCTCTGCAGGCACCTGAGTGCACACAAACTCTCAGCCACCGAGGAGCAGCCCAGCCAGAGAGAGCGAGGCACAGAGCACTGTGTGAAAGAGAGAGAGGAAGGGAGGAGGAGAACCAAGTGGACAGGGTGAGGGAGGCAGAGAAAGGGAAGAGCAAGAGACCAGAGATGGGAAGTAAAGGAAAAGGGGGGGTGGGGTGTGTTGATGAGGGAAGTTGGGAGGAGGAAACCAAAGGGGATGAGTGAATGGATGGATCAATGAATGAAAGGATGGAAGTGGTGAGGAGTTGGCGAGGAATAGGACAGGCGGTGGAAAAGTTCAAATATAAATATAATGGGATAATAAATAAATAAGGTTTGGTTTGAAATTGAGAGGAGGTGGGTGTGTAACCATCAAAGGTGAGGAGAGGAGAAGAGGGGAGGAGGTGGGGGATAGTGAGGGGAAAAACCAGTATTAGAGCTACACACACATTGACAGTGAGCGCAGGAACACACACTCCATCACACACAAGATACAGACTGATAAACATACACACAGAAGCATTATTAGACATGAACTGGGAGGGGATAGGTAGACTGGGAGGGGGATAGTAGAGAGGGGTGGGGGGGGAGTAATAGTCAATGTTGGTCTCTTGTTTTGACAGAAACCCCACCCACTGTTCTGCCATCCCCACTCTCATGAGTGATTATTGATTATCACTGGGACAAAAATGATATAAAAACAAATAAATGCAGAGACAACCAGGACAAAATTGAAAATGGTTTGTAGGACTGTGAGATTACGGACCACAACCCCTGCTCAAATGTAGATTTATTTTAATTGTAAACGTTTCGTTCTTCAGCGATAGACAAATATAAATGATGTAAAATATAACTAAGTTGTTAGGATACTGTAGTATGTGCTATTGTGGACAGATACATTACATTTCATACTATGTTAGGCTAATAAACTCCTTTCAACATGAATATGTCTTTATGTTACTTGCTATAAACATGTTGGCACATTTATATTTTCTGTATGTATAATCAAGTCATTATTTTGAAAGCAATTCACCTATTACATTTCATTGTAAAAAGGTTTGTTATGCTTATCAACACCTTACTTAAGTATCCTTCGGTCTCATGGTGAATTTTCATTTCTCTGAAGTAAGTTATTCACCGTTTGTAAAACATCTGTAGTAGTTTTGGATAGGACCTTTCAGCAAAAAATAGGCACTACCTGCTCACTCATGCACTAGAGTGTGTCACAGGAGACGTCTGGTCCCTATAATCGACAAAACAATCTAAGATATTAATGTAACTTTTAGGGCCTAACGTGCTATGTCAATAGCAATACAATTGATGTGTTTGTTGGGGAAGCTGAGGGCTGTGCGGTACTTCATATATGTAGTACGAGGAGCAGCCACACGAAAGGAAACACATCCATACTTTAATTGACTAAAAACAGTTGTGCCTAATCTTAAATTGCGTCTTCTTGGAGACCACTTTGACCCCTGTAATCTTAATGTTAGCTATTACTGAGCTAACGTTAGCCTAGCTGGTTAGCTTATCAAGATAGCTTATCATTTAACAGGAAAGAGACCTTATTGACCAAAATATGACCGTATATAGAGAGGAAGCGACATTAAACGGAGAGTTCGTGATTCTGGTTAACAATAGAGCTTTCATCACCCAGGTCAATTGTCTGTTTTGGTATGGTAATAGCTGTCAAGTACACCTAGCATTTTTAGCATCTTAGCTACAAAGCTAATTGCTACCTCGCTAATCGTGGTAAACGCTATGTGAATGAAAAAGTACTACACTTCCTTCTACGCACTTTGAAAATATAAACAGAGAACCAGCACACTGTTACGATGTTTAACAACATCCCGTTGTATAATTAAATGTACTTGACTGATCCACGTATCGATTACCATGAAGACGCCTAACATAAAGTACATAATATAACATACCCGTACATTTGCGTGGTTGATCGCCCTGTAGCCTGTGTTAGCTGCGAGGCTAGGTATCAGACAGGGCCCAGTTAAAGTGGCGCAGCGTCACCGCAGTGAGCGTTACCCCGAGGATCCTGTCTTCGGCCGACGACCGGACGTCTACCGTTCAATTCCTCCGCTGTGTACCAGTGTTATCTCAAACAACAAATGACTATAATCTATCAGATGCCGAAGTCAAGGTCTCGGCTATTTGTTTATCCAGTATGCGGAGCAATCCTAGCGAAATGTATCGATAATTTCAGGCCCTCCCTCTGTTTTCTGGTCCCCCCTCCTTTCTCCTCCACCTCTCAAGCCGCTTCAGCTCGTTCCTGCCGTCGAGTGGAGTCTCGGCTCTTACCCCCGAAATAAGAGCGATACTGAACACTTCGGATGTCCAGGATGCCATAACGAAACGATTCTTACCATAAGCTCCAACGTTTTGTCCTCCATCTCCGGCTCCATGTTGACGATCCCCCCCGAAACTCGCTCTGAAAATGGAAACCCAGCCCTGCGTCGGCGGCCCGCAAATGCAGAGACGTCATTCACTTCGCTCAACCACACAGCTTTGGTAGGGCAGTGTCAAAAGGGTGGGTGGGGGCGATGGTAACGCCCATGCGATGAAAAAACGCGCTGATTGGACAGATTTGGTCAAAGGGGGAGTGATTTGGTAAGTTTGCTTTTTATTGATTGGCTTACCGTGCTACCAAGGCTTCCCCGGTGACTCCCCCAAACAAAAGGGCAAATGGATGAAGATGCTGTTGCTATCCTGAAGTGGAATACACTAAGGCAAAATCAATCATCCGCATAGCTTTGCTATGAGCTGCTGCAGGATGTCGGCGGTTGTAATGTCATGTGTGATTAAAGGAAATGTTAATTGTAATCCTGCTCCAAAAAACAGTAACCGATATTGTGTTTTCAAGTTGTTTTTTCTTCAAATATTTGAAAAAATAAGGCCAAATACATTTCAGAGAAGATGTTTGGGTTGTTTCATGATATCTCCACCAAATTGCATATGTTAGACATATGCTTAAAAAGAATGCAAGTGAATACACAGAGGGATGAAAGTTACACCAGGGACCTCTTGCATAAAAGCATGTCAGAGTTCACATCAAAACTTTGAGTAAACATGAAACTGCATGAGCATAGATAGAAGTAATACAAAATAATTCTAAGAACTCTTTATAAGGCATGATATTTCCTCATCCTTTACCTTTGTTCACGCTTTCCACATGAATCCCACAGGCATTACATAAGGTTGGCTGCTCAGTCAATTGAGTGTTAATGTTAAATTACTCATCTGATAATCTGAAAACTGTATCGTCATCTTCACAGGACCTTTTTCACGGCTATAATGTGCAGGATGTTGAGTTTCCTTCCTAAACAGAGTGCCTATTCTGAGAATTCATCTAAGGAGCCTTAGTGCAATTTGACTACCTTATCGTGTCCTTTGAACCAATGCAACTTTCTATAAAATAGTTAATGGATGACTGTGTGGTGTTTCGCATGGCCATTTTTTAAAAACCGCTTTGTGAAGCTCCGTCACCTTTTCTCAACAAAGCATTAAGAACAAAAACTCACCTTTATCTTTCGGGTTTCCCTAATAGAGGCAAGCACCACATCTGATTTTCCTAATCAACACACACATTTTTTGTAAAATATTCACTGGAATGAATCAACTAATTCAGATTTTAAACAGATGTGTCATTACAGAAAGCTGTGACTAATTTTAAAATGAAACCACACACAGGAAGTATTTCAAAATTGGGACAAGGATTAAAAAAAAAATATGGAAAAGTTCATCTCATGACTACTTCATCTTTTGTCAACGGGGAGACTAATGATTACCTTTAAATTGATTTGGAATTTAAGAAAGCAAAGTTATCAGGCCTTTGTTTTCTGAAAGTTAAGATGAATTAAATTGTAATACGAAAAGGTGGATCCTGAGAAAGCAACAACAGAATCACCTAAAAGCGTTCATGCGTACTTGTCACTAACAGGAAAACAATGTATTCTTTCTAAATCAGGGAAGCAGAGGAGGTCCACTCTGCCAGGAAGGTGACAGACGCAGCACAGGATTGAGACCAGAGCAGATGAAGAGGTAGCAATGGTTTTCAGCAGTTCAAATTTAATACTTTGTCCCCCTTTCTCTACAGAAACCCAGGTAAAAAAAATCCCCCACTCTCATAAAATACAACAGCAGCAGTTACCAGTAAAAAAATGAAATGCAAAAAAAAAAAAAAACCGAGAGAGAAAGCATAGAAGGGATAAGAGAGAGAGAGAGAGAGAGAGAGAGGGTAGAGGCATGATGAGGCAAGAAAGGAAAATATATTTTCTATATGCGAGGAGTGAGTCCAAAGTTCTTCTTCAGACCGGGTCTGGGAGAGCGAGGAATCTGGGAACTTGCTGTTGTGTTCGTTCAAAATGGAGGGCAGGAGGAAAAAGAAAAGAGAACAAAATGAGTCGAGTCCAATCCAACTAGGGGAAGGAACCAGCACTCTAAGGCAGGGATTTATTCAGGAAGGGCTTTCTCCCTCTCTGGATGAAAGAAAATCTCACTCCTCTTCAGCCTGTGTTATACATTGTGTCATGTGTGTACAGATGAAATGTATGCGCAAGTTTGTGTATGCAACAGGTAAATTGGAAGGTGTGTCTGTCATACATATGGTCAACACGTGGCACCTCTCACTTGCTGCAAGAGAGGTGGCATTTTTCTTTCCTCATTTCTTCATTCATTCCTTTGCTTTTCTTCTCCCAATATCAGTCCCCGACTACCTAGTAGTCATCCAAATCAAAGATCTCATCGTTCTCTCCTTGGTACTCCATGCCCTGGAAATCAACCCTGTACCGCAAGATACCTGAGGAGCAGAGGGAAGACAGATTAGCAATGGGTTAATAAGATGATTTGCCAGCTTATGTCATGTTTGGTTAGATTGTGAGAACATTAAAAAGGAAGAATTTCTATTAGGATAAAATAACCCCTCTTTGCTATGGCGGTGGGAGTTTTGTAAATATAAAGCACAAATTCATGAAATCCTTTTATTTTACTACTTACTGAATAAAAACACAACATAATGTACTTTTCATTTGAGGAAAATAACAGGAAACTAATAAGTGCACCGTTATCACCAGCTCTATAGTTTAGGAGCACATGGATACCTAAATGAACTGCTAAATATTTTCGATAGATAAATGTTTGAGGCAACCTTTAAGCAGGTAGTACGGTAGAGGCGCAACAACTAATCGACTTAATCGATGACCAAATTATTTGCCAACTAATTCAGTCGTCGATTCGTTGGTGACGTCATCACGTGTGTTTTACGCGCCGTTGAGCTCCAACGTTATCGGTCTTTTTATCGGTATTGGAGACATTTAAAAAATATATGTCATATGTATTATTGCTACAAAAACATTATATCGCAGTCTTAGTGTCGCCAACTCGTTTCTAACATGCAAAAAGACAAAAAAATGCGTCTATGATGTATTTTCGATCTTTCCAATCCAGACCAGAGATCTCTCTCTCTCCCCCGTCTGTGTGCGAGGGGGCGGGGCAGTTTACACACACGCAGCTGTTAAATGCATGCAACACACACACGGCGGGGATGGCGGAGAGAACTAAGCGCTCCAAGG